CACCATTTTCTGGCCTCTATATCTAGTGGCTGTTCTGTTCTCTGACCCCAGATAAGTTTATTAGGGTGCACAATATTTTGTGGAACACAATATCACCACAACAGTACAAGTAATATAAAAGAAAAAAGCCAAGTAAGATGGGAGATACACAGGGAGTCGGGATCCTGTATGTTACTGTGTTGATTTTGAATTTTTTGATTGTTGATAAGCAAATAACAGCTGCTAAGAGACATGAGGTTGAAAGGACTGCTGAAATAATCCAACCTAGATATTTTAAGAATTCCTTACCTTTAAAAAAGAAGTCAAGGGCCAGGCGGTGGTGGTTCATGCCTTTAATCCCAGCACTCAGGAGGCAGAGACAGGTGGATCTCTGTGAGTTCAAGGCCAGCCTGGGCTACCAAGTGAGCTCCAGGAAAGGCGCAAAGCTACACAGAGAAACCCTGTCTCGAAAAACCAAAAAAAAAAAAAAAAAAAAGAAGTCAAGAAATGTATTTGTCAAATGGAAATAAGGAATGCTTTGGAGTTTTGTTCCCACAGGAGATGAGAGGTTGTGGGTTCCTTCAGGAATGAAATGGATCAGGGAGGACCTCCTGAATCTTGGCAGGTGATATCTACTAACAAAGGTTACTACTGGCCTTACCAGGACTTGGTCATTATCTCAAATTTTCTCTCTGGGATCCTAAAGATGCTTCATCCACAGACAGCAGAAAGCAGTCTAGAGAAAATGATGCCCACATTCCGAAGAGTTGCGGGGTGTGGGTGGTCTTTGGTTATTTGGTGGGTTATGGATGTTTGTTATCATTTAGGGGAATATAGAAATGATAAGATAATATTGTAGATTATTGAATCTATTTTAAACTAAAGAATACTATTAATCTCAAATATTTTGTATTTGTAAGGACTTTTGTATATTGATAAAAATTTAAGGTAATTTTTGTTACAAAACATTGTATATATATATTTGTACTCTTGTTTAAAGGATTTTTGTATACTGATAAAAATTTAAGGTTATTTTTGTTACAACATATTGTATTATGTTTTTTTTTGTTTGAGGTATTATGCCTATGCAGTTCATTTGGAAATGTAGGGTGAAGTTCAATTTTTTGAAACCTATTATTATAAACTATACAGGATATCCAGGAAACATAGTTAGTCAGTTATAACAATCAAAATTGTAAATATGTTAGATATGCTTTCCAGATCATATAGAGATATATTTTAGATAGATGGTCTTCAAGACTTTCAAATATCTACAGAATATGGCATTCAAAATGTTTTGTTAACTTAGGGCTTTTTGTGACAATGAGACACATCTGCTCCTGGCAGCACCAATTTACTTTAGAGATAATGGGCATCGAAGAAACTCCTTGTGGAGTTTGCTTTCAACGTGGGAAGGCTTGCCATTTAGTCAAGAAGCTGCTCTTGCCTGGACTGCTTGACAGTATGTTGTTTAAACTGGACATGCAGGACCCACAGGAAAGTGACTGCTGAACTTTGCTAAAACAATGCAGGATGGTCCTTCAGGATTCCTGCTTCACAGAAGAAATTGCCAGACATTCTTCAGGAAACAGAGGAAAGACTAACAAATTTTGCCAATATAGGTGGGACACTCTTTCAAATTTCCTGCTTCATTGAAAAGTCTGCCAGATACTATGGGCCTGTAGGTTGAAGATGGATGCCCCAACATTGCAGAGGAAATTTGGGTGACTGTCCAGGCAGTCAGATGTTCCTGTCATCTAGAGTTTTTGGAAGTTGTTTGCAATGCACTTTTTGTTTACTTAAATTATCTCATAATCTTCTGGGGCCTTTGATGGAGTTGAAGACTAGATAGTTATAGTTGCAGTTTTCCTTAGAGATGATAGAAAGTCAATTAGGTATAAAATTTTGGATTTACTAAGATAGGATAGATTATGGAGTATTTTCTTTAACTTTACCAGACAGAAATGAATTGGAATTTAGTATATGTGAATGTAAGAAACGAAGAAAGGTGTGCAGGAATAGAGAATGATAAAAGCCACAAGGCCAAAGATAAACAGGATAATTTAAGTTAAATAAAGTTGACTAGAAACAATCCAAGCTAAGGCCAGGCATTTATAATTAAGAATAAGCCTCCTTGTGTATTTATTTGGGAGTTGGGTGGTGAGCCCCCAAAAGAGCAAAAACAACCAACAACACAAAAGCACAGAAAATATTTTCAAAAAAGTCACAGTAGCAAATTCTCCAAATCTATGGAAAGAAATGTCTATCCACTTGCAACAGGCCTACAGCAAACAAAATAGACAGTATCAGAAAGGAGATTTCACGTGACATACTATAGTTAAAATGCGAGAAATACAAAATAAAGGGCATTGAAAGCTGCAACAGAGATAAGCAGAGTCACTTACAAGGACAGGCTCATCAGAATAACAACAGGTTGATTATTCAATAGAAAATTTTAAAGCAGAAGAGTCTGGAAAGATGCATTCCAAATTCTGAAAGACTGCACCTGTCAACCTTGAGCATTGTGCATAATAAAACTACACCTGTAGTTGAATGAGAAGTAAAAAATTTCCATGATAAAAATAGATAGGAATTTATGACTCCTAAGTATCTCTCTAGAGGATTCTAGGCATAATGCTTCAGTCTGAAGAGAATGAGAAACACACACAAATGGCCACCAGGGATAAATAAACAAGATCAGGAAGGTGGAGTTATGCATCTGTAAATAATCTCTCACCCAGCACCCTGCAAGAAATCCTAGTAAAATGCAATGGGTTACAGGAAAAAAAATCATAAATGTAGGAAGACCAGCTCGTAAGAAGACTGGGATCAGTGGAAATGAGAAGAAAACAAGAGAAGGTAATGGGGGGTGAGTGTAGTCAAAAGTTTTCTCAGATCCTGCCTGGCCTCGTGGTCCTGCATTCCTCCAGTCTTATGTTCCTCTAGTCCTGTCCAGCCCCGGGGTCCCTCAGATGCTTATAAAATAATCATTCAGAGGCTTAATATTAATTACCAATTGTATGGCCTATGGCAGGCTTCTTACTAGCTAGCTCTTATAACTGAACCCAATTCTATTAATCTATAAGTTGCCACGTGGCTATGGCATTACCAGTCTGCTGGCATCTTGCTGCTTGGGCTGCAGGCTGGTATCTCTCCAGACTCCACCTTTCTCTCTCCTTGGATTTCCCACCTGCCTCTAAGCTGCCTTGCTTGCCATAGGACAAAACAGCTTATTTATTAACCAATGGAAACAACATATATTCACACCATACAGAAAGACATCCCCCAGCAGGTGAGTATGATAAAAGTACATTATAGACGTGCATGAAAATGTCATAATGAAGTCCATTATAATGCATAATTAACACTTGCAAAAGAGAAAGATATAATGATATAAATATACATTCTGACTAGTAAAATATTTACTTTGTAGTATCTAGTTAATTGCATATTTATAATAAATAATATAACCATTAGCAAAACTCTTTATTAATATAGGTTATTACTGATTTATTAAGATTAATAAAAAGCTTACTATGATGATTCTGTTTCTTAATAGCTTTTACTAACAATATGTATATTGAATGCATGTATGATGTATAATGTGTGTATGTATGTTATGTATCTTTCCATCACTATAATGAAACGCCTGACATGGGTCATTTCTGAAGGAAACAGAGTTTTCTTTTGGCATGCTTGTTTGGAGCATCAGGTCAAAGATTGGGCATCCCCGTGGTTTGGGTCTTCATAAAGGTGGCACATCATAACAGAAGCCAAGAAACCATAGAAGACTAAAATACATCAGACTCTTTCAAAACCATGGACACTAAGGTCCTTTCACAAGGGTTCAGCTCTTAAAGTCCACAAAACTTTCTAGGGACCACACTATTACATATGGAATTTTTATGAAAATGCAGTCAAGTCATATCAATTTTAAAGATAGGATTTAAAATACTTAAATAAATCCATGTGTCTGAAAATGAAAAGTAGTGAGGAAAACTTCCAATCTATTGAAATAATAGAAAGCTTCTGCGAGATCAAAAGTATTGTGTAGCATATAGGAAGTCTGGCTCACCAAACACGGGGATTCCCGAGTCATGTATACAGCACTTCTGCCTCCTGACACTCACAACCTTAGACAAGTGATACTAACGTGACTTTTAGTGTCTTCTAAGAAAGATTCCAGAGAAGCACCGCATTCAAATGTCTAGCTGAAATTGCTTCTTCTGACAGTCAAATCTGTTCCTTCTTTAAAATTTTCAAATAAATAAAATAGAATTAAAGTACCCAATGAATCTGCAGAAATTGTGTGTGACTGTAAGAAGCTGAACTGACTTTAAAAATCGTATGAGCCTGATCTGTGAAATAATCCAGTGGTTAACATCTTGATAAAGGGGACCAGAGTTCACACAGTGAGTGTCCAAAAGCTGGTAAGGAAAGAGGGACACAAAAGATGAAAAGAAACTCTCATAGCTAACTTGTAAATATGCACATTGTGCACCCAGCTATGTGCTATGTGTGGGGAGAATTCAGAGTCTCAGCCTCCTGTGAACAAATGTGTACTTGGTATAGACAAAAAACAAAACAAAACAAAACTAACCAACCAACCAACCAACCAACCAACCAAACAAACAAACAAACAAAGAAACAGAATTTAGAATGTGGAGCTGAGTCTCACAGTGCCAAAGTGAGACTTTGGAGAAAGAGAGGCATTTACCTACTAAAATAAAATAAGTTTTTTTTCAGACCTCTCAGCCATTTCTCTTGATGCTTACCACCTACCTCATCATTTCCTCTTTTGTGGTCTGGAGTGAGAAGTGGCATGTTGTCCAATAAACTCCCTATCCTTGTGCAAGAAAGGAAATTCTGACTTAATTGTACAGAGAATATTAACACACTGTGATATCAGCTCTGTTAGGGCTGAACTTTTAAAAACGGGTGAAGCATTCATCTATCGAGACTCACTTTCCAGGGCTCTTACTAAGTCAAGAGGAGAAAGAAAGGGGGAAAAAAAAAGAAGAATGTCTTCAATGAACTCGTCTGCATCCCATCACACAGGTACAATCTGCAAGTCTTCATTTGCTTGTACAGCTCTTTTATTAGAACGGGTATAACGTTTGTCAAGGGTAGGACAATGGAAGAGTGCACAGTGAGATGGAAAGAGAAGGGAAGAAGGGTCCTCAGGATTAGCAGAAAGCTTGCTGAGGAGTCCAGGAAAGGCTGCCACTCTGCTGTTTCTACCTTCTGTGATACTCTGAATGTCTTTGAACAAGTCCTTCGCTTCTGTGGAATATCCTCTACCTGTCTGTAAATGTATATTGGGGAAAAGGAAACACCTGCTGCTTGACTGTTATGTTTTATTTAATTTATGAAGATCTTGAAAATGAGAAGTGGAGAAGATGACAGTAGGAGAGAGACTGGAAAAGCAAAGGGGGAAATGAAGCAAAAGGAAAAGAAAAGAAGGAAGGAAATAAAGAGGGGAGGCCTTTAGGTGTGGAAGCATTTCAAATGGAGGAATTAGAAATGAAAAGCTCTCGACCATTGCCGGCAGTCTGTTGTGTGGGTATCTTTGTGGATTTCTGTGGGCCTCTCTAGCACTTTGCTTCTTCCTGTTCTCATGTGGTCTTCATTTACCATGGTCTCCTATTCCTTGTTCTCCCTCTCTGTTGTTGATCCAGCTGGGATCTCCCGCTCCCCCAAGCTCTCTTTCCCTCGACCCTCGCCTTTCAATACCCCCACTCATGTCCAGGCTGTTCATGTAGATCTCATTCCATTTCTCTGTCATTGGGCGATCCCTGTGTCTTTCTTGGGGTCCTGTTTTCCGGGTAGCCTCCCTGGTGATGTGAGTAGCAGACAATTCATCCTTGTTTCATGTCTAGTATCCTGCTATGAGTGAGTACATACCATGTTTGTCTTTCTGAGTCTGGGTTACCTCACTCAGGATGATTTTTTCTAGATCCATCCATTTGTCTGCAAACCTCATGATGCCATTGTTTTTCTCTGCTGAGTAGTATTCCATTGTGTATATGTACCACATTTTGTTTATCCATTCTTCAGTTGAAGGGCATCTGGGTTGTTTCCATGTTCTGGCTATTACAAACAATGCTGATATGAACATAGCTGAACAAGTGCTCTTATGGTGTGGTTGAGCATTCCTTGGGTATATGCCCAAGAGTGGTATAGCTGGATCTTGGGGGAGATTGATTCCCAATTTTCTAAGAAAGCGCCATATTGATTTCCAAAGTGGTTGTACAAGCTTGCATTCCCACCAGCAGTGGAGGAGAGTTCCCCTAGCTCCACATCCACTCTGGTGATGGGATGGCCAAACACCCTAATTGTTGTGCTAGAAACCTCATCCAACTACTGAGGGATCCGGATGCAGAGATCCATGACTAGGCCCTGGGTGGATCTCTGGGAGTCCAATTAACGAGAATGAGGAGGGTTTATATGAGCGAGAATTGTTGAGACCAAGGTTGGATAAAGCACAGGGACAAATAGCCAAATGAATGGAAACACATGAACTATGAACCAATGGCTGAGGGGTCCACACTGGATCAGGCCCCCCGAATGGGTGAGACAGTTGATTGGCTTGATCTGTTTGGGAGGCATCCAGGCAGTGGGACCAGATCTTGTGCTCATTGCATGAGTTGGCTGTTTGAAACCTGGGGCCTATGCAGGATTGTTTGGCTCGGCCTGGGAGGAGGGGACTAGACCTACCTGGACTGAGTCTACCAGGTTGACCTCAGTCTGTGGGGAAGGCTTTGCCCTGGAGGAGATGGGAATGGGGGGGGGGTTGGGGGGAAGGTGAGGGGGACGGGAGGGGGGAGAACAAGGGAATCCGTGGCTGATATGTAGAACTGAATTGTATTGCAAAATAAATTAAAATAAATTAAAAAAAAAAAAGATAACAGATATATTCTGAAAAAAAAAAAAAAAAAAAAAGAAATGAAAAGCTCATCGTATACCTAAGTCCAGGTCTTAACACCAGCAATGGATTACAGCAGGGATTCTTAAGGTGTGGTTTCCAGACAGATTCCACACAACTCTCCTGAATTGTTAACTGGCCCAGCAATCTGCATACCACACGGATTCATGGGCAAGCCATCTCCATACAATGGATTCATGGGGCGAGCCTAGACACAGGCAATTACGAATAGGAAGTGGCAAGGATAGAATTGACTCAAATCTCTTTTGTTTGTTGCTTTGGGAAGATCCACTGTGTGTTATATCTTTCTTCTTACAGAGAGAGGATGTTTCAAAAATTCCCAAGTGCTCTCATGGACCATGGCTGGGGCCTCCATCCTGTTTCTCAGTGTCTGTTTCATCACCAGATGTGTTGGTGGGTTCTGAAAGTCAAAGTCACTCTATGTCTCCAGGGCTGATACTAGCAGTAGATTCTTGCTCGGTGCAGTGCATCACTTTTCCTACAAGGCTTTTTTTTTTTTTTTTTTACAAAGTTTCATATATGTTATACTTTATTATTCTTGACTGATTTTGTTTTTAACAGTTTAATACACACACACACACACACACACACACACACACACACACACACACACACATATATATATAGTATTCTGATTACTCATTCTCTCATATCCTCTCATGTCCCTCCCTTCACTATCAATCCCCACACAGTGCCTTTCCCAGTTTCATGACTTTTGGTTTGGCTTTGTGACCCATTTAGTTTAACATGGGCCATCTGTATGACCACTATTGGGGTGTCCACTGGGGGAGGTAGGGTTCATCAATGGGGACACAGTTGAAAGGAACAATCTCCCTACTCTCTGAATCTATCAACAGGCAAGAGCCCAGCAGAGGACAGGGCTTCCCGAGGCCCTCCTCTGACCATGCCTGAGAGTGAATGGGCCTACTCTACGGCAAGCCCAGTGCGGTCACCTGTGGCTGCTGTTGGGTTAAGATTGTAACAGCTGTGTCAGGTCCAGAAGATGACATTCCACAGCACTTTGCCTTATCTTCTGGCTTTTCCACTCCTTTCCTTCCTCTGCAATGTTCCCTGGGCCATAAAGTGGGTGGCAAATGTCTTGTTTAGAGCTGAGCACTCATCTATTTCTGCATTCTCCACCATGCACCGGAGCATTCAGCGGAAGGAGAGGCTCCTCTGATGAAGACCAAATAGTGTTCATCTACCTATGGATATAAACACAGATATCTATATGGCAACTTGACACTGGATTAATTCAGTTGAACAACAGTGTTCATAGTTAGGCCTATGATGTCCTCTGCGATGGGTTTTTGACCAGATTTATAGTGCTTTTTTATTTCATTTTCCTTCCTATTCACCCTCAAGCTCCAGGCTATTTCCTAAGCCAGAAACACAACTAGTCTAAAACCATATTTGAATTTCAGTCATCTCTATACATTTTTGTGGTGCATATTTTCCATCCCCTTGGTGCTCTTGAGTTCTTCCTTTCAGACCCCTGTCATTAGGCCAACTTTCTCGATGAAATGTTAACCTGTAGCTTAGACGACTGGTCAGGACCAAAGGCACAGACATTTGCTTTGTGGATGGAAGATTTTAGATGGTTAGACTTGGCACAGGAGGGACTACAAACATACTTTTGATCTGAAATAGTTTATTCTTTGTTAAGTCAGGAAAGCCATGAAATGTGAATTACTCTTTCTTTGAGGAAGTGGATCCCAGTGTGAAGGGGAAACAGGTGGTGAGGAAACTTCCTGGTGACTGTTGGCCATTGCGTTCCGAGTAGAAAACTGAGGGCAAGGATTTCGTTAGGAGAAAGAATATGAGGCATTGACCGTGACCCTTTCCTCTTACAGTAACCTATCGCAGCTGTCTAATGTACGAGCAGAGGAAGTTACAGTCACACGAAACAGTCAAGGAGCTGTCCTGCTCCAGTGCCACATCAGGTACAACTGTCTGCCAAGTTGAACATGAAAGTGTGTATGACAACCTTTTTTTAGTTTCTAGATTGTCTTTGGAATAAGGAAACTATAGTGGGATTAGTTTCTGTTTTTCCAAATGAAATGAGAAATCCTGTCTGCAGAGAGTGGGGGGAAGGTTGATGAGAGCAGAGGGACAGAACTCTGGAAACGCAGGTGTCCTTGGGCCAGACATCTCCAGACATTACAATAAACCCTGACCATAAATTTCAAGTGTACGTCTAAATAAGAACTCTGAAAAAGAAAGGATTTATTGCCAGTAATGGAAGTTTTTCTTCATTTATCTGTTTCAAAAATGAGGTGGAGGAGAAAAACATTTACAGAGAATTTTCAAATACCTAAGAAAAAGTACTCAAATATTCTTATATATCAGCATAGTCCAAGACATATCAAAATGCTGCTGGATGCTGGCAAAGTAAGTTACTTCTTTAAGTCACAAGTTTTTGGTGTTTTTTTTTTGTCTCTAAATTAAGAGAGATTTAGTTCAATAAATGTCAATGACTGAAATTTTATAGTTCTAAAACATTTATCCAGGTTCAGAGGATTGGTCAGAGTGCAGAGCTTATCCACCACAAGGGTTTGCCTGGGAGTCACCCAGAGAAGACTCAAGAGTGGCCTTGCCTAAGCACAGAAACTTGAGTTCTGAGGTGACTACCTGACCCAGGTAAACTGCACATACCGCTGTATTTACTAGTCCTGATATCTAGAAAATAAAGGTTCTGCTCCAAAGACAAAATTGCTGCTTGTGTTTATTGACACTGGAATTACCTCACAGTCTTAGAGAGCAAGGTGTGGGCTACTAGAAAGGTTCTAAGCTCGGGGCTCCCAGTGTTGGACTCCACCGGATCGCAAGCCAAACTCCCCGACACCCCCTGAAGCCTCTCTCCTCCTAGGTTCAGTCAAGAACTGCTGTCCTTTGAACTGGAAACATTTTCAATCTAGTTGTTACTTTTTCTCCACGACCACCCTGACCTGGCCGTCAAGTTTAAAGAATTGCTCAGAAATGGGGGCTCACCTGGTGGTTATCAACACACCGGAAGAGCAGGTAATTTGTGAACGGGCTCCTCTGTGTGGAAGGGATGTTTTCGCTGATCTTTTCTCCCAAACCTGTGCCTAAGGTTTGAGCCACAACCGTTTGCCAAAGGAGTGGGCTGAGATGTGTGCTGCGGTCGCTGTTTCACCACATGATTTGCTTTCAGGCTCGGCATTACCAGAACCTTTAAAGGCTGGTTTATCTGAAGAGACCCGATATTAACCAGAATAGCGGGGAGTAGGAGCTGATTTTAGAATAATATTTTGTTGACGAATACTTTGTATGAATGAGGGCAAACAACTATTACCCATTGTCGTCAGACTCTGGTTAATTTCTCATGATAAATAGATACATCAGATGTGACTGCCATTAGCTAAAGACCAACTTTGAATGAATGACGTAAGAATCTCTTTTAGAGGTTAGAGGGTTTTTATCTGTTGAATTACATTACTTGTAATTTCTCACAATAAAAAATTAGGAAATGGCCTTCAGTAATCTTACAGTTTTAAGAATGCTTATCTATTGTCTAGTCTCAATTCTGCTTCACCTCTCCTAAAAACTAATTACTTTCAGCATCTCTTCAGAACCAAGATAATTGATCACGTTCTTCATCATTGTTGTTGCTATTATTGCCATTGTTATGTTCTTCCTCAGGAATTCCTTTTTCATACAAAACCCGAGAAGAAAGAGTTTTATATTGGACTGACAGACCAGGTGGTGGAGGGTCAGTGGCAATGGGTTGATGACACACCTTTCACAGAGAACCTGAGGTAAGTACATCCTGTGGGAAAATGGTCACATCAGGTAATCCTAAAGTGAGACCATGCTGAGGGGAATTCTCAGAATGGCTTTTGCTCTGATGATGCAAATTCAGGTCCATCACTGGTGATACTGGATGCAGGGAAGGAAATTGGAGGCACAGGCTCCTAACCCTTCCGTTCCCTAGGAATGCCAAAAGAATGGAAGAGAAATGATAGATGAAAATAATAAGGACATCAGAACTGTAGTGTAGAATCAGTTATCTACAGTGTAGATTTTAAAAAGAGTAAAGTTAAATCTTACGCCCTAAAACAGAAGCAAGTGAAACATAGTGACTTAGAAAGAACAGAATACTCTTCAGATCCTACTGCCTTTCCCCTTAATAATGGCCTTGTGTCTTTATAACATTACATTTTAGAGTTTACAGTTGGTTTTCATTATCCCTCTTTATTGAAATAATTATAGGTTTCTGAGACATGTCAGTGTTATTAATCTTTATCCAGCATTTGAGGAAACTAAATGTGGAAGGGAATGAGGGACTCACTCAGCTAACAAGCGGTAGTTGTGAGTCCAGGGCTTGGCTGCCCTGAATCCTGAGGAGGCGTGCTTCACTGCACAGTGAACGATGCCCTAGGAGAACATGGAAGAGAGCGAGGGTAGCGTGAGGTAGGAGGGCAGAGGCAGTGCATCTGCCATGTCACCAGTCCAAGTAGTCCTTACCGTGACATCTCTTTCTGAGTCCAAGTCTATGGAGCTTCATGACAGTATAGAAACCCAGGAAGATCCCACCAGCTGATGACATAGGCAAGCGGGTTTTTCTTTGTTGGTAAAAATGGATCTTAAAATTTCACTTCACAAAAGGATAGTTAAATGACAAATATATAAGTTGTTTAATGTGGTGACTCCTTTTCTTGAGACTGAAAATCTCCTGTGTTTCCCCTTCACAGTTTCTGGGATGCTGGAGAGCCCAACAATATAGTTTATGTGGAGGACTGTGTCACCATAAGGGACTCTGGAAATCCCAGGAAGAATTGGAATGATATACCGTGTTTTTACAGCATGCCTTGGATTTGTGAAATTCCAGAAATAAGTCCTTCGAACTAAATGCAAATGAACACGGGAGACATGATTTAAATGTGTGAGGAGAAACAGGAATGTAACAACACCCAAAATCCATTATGGACCATAAGGACCACTTATGTGTGTGTTACTCTAAGTAAAAGTGACTTGTTCCATTGTTAAAATCCCGATGTTCTGACCGATGTTCTCGCCATAACCTGCAAGTCCTGTTTTCAGAACTTGTGGAGTAATCCACTAATAAACGCAGCAAGAGGAAAGGGACTTTCTTTTTGACATCCATCTTGCTTATGAGAATTAAAATGAAAATATAGGTACAGAGAGAGTGAGTATGCAGTCTAGTGAAGAAGTCTATAGACTTTGGATGGTCACCAGATCTTCCTCTTCTTTCTACATCCAAGGATCAGCTTATCTCCTCATGTTGTTAATGCATAGATCATGTCCATGTTCTCCAACAGCAAGGAAGAAGCCTCTTGAGGCTTACTGCAGCTCAGGAGAATGGCATGGCCGTCAGTGCATCTCCACAGGGAAAGGCCAAACTTCAGCTCCAAACAGACAGGTGGTCTAGTCCACTCTTCCCTGGACCTCCATTTTCTCTGTGTTTTCCTCTATCAACTGGATCTTGCCTGCATTTGTATCTGCTGCTCAAGTAGAACCAGAGTTCAAAGTGAGATTGCCCTTTAGAAGTTCGGTTTCACACTTTCCTGTCTCAAGACTTTCCATTTATCATATGATATTCTTCAGTGAAGACCATGGTTCTTCCAGACAGAGTCATAAAGAGATCTTCAGCAGCATTCACGTGCTGGAATAACATGTATCCTTGAGTAGGGGAATTTAACTAAACAAATCAATTTGATATATTAACATTCTTTACAAGCATTTCAGTTAGGCATCTTAACAATCTGATTTTGAAATTAAAATCCTTCTTTTAAACACAAAGTCATTTAAACTAAAAAAAATCTTACAACCATACATTTGACTTTCTAATTCATTTTTAAAAATCATTTCTGTTTGAAAATTTCATGCACTGTATAGAATTCACTTTTAACAAACCCATCCTCATTCGCTCCGCTACAACCTGCCCCTAGACACCTCACTTCCTTCCCCTCCCAGCTTCATGTGCTCTTTTTCTTTTGAAACCCATAGTGTCGGCTCAGTGCTGCTTGTATGAACTTGGGTGTAATATCTTCTATGGAGCATGGGCAGCCTCTCAGAAATCACATCCCGCACTCCACCTCCTCCAGCAACCAACCCTTGTCAATAGCTTCTCCTCTGAGGATAGGACTCCATGAGCTCCATGTCATCCATGCTGGGATTTGGGATGTCTTGTATTACCTTTATTGTGTTGAGGTATGTCCCCTGTGCCCCTAGAATCTCCAGAAGTTTTATTGTGAAGAGAGCCTGGATTTTGATGAAGTGACGATGTTGTGGGATATTTTGATCATGCTCTGATGCTCCTGAGACTGACAATAAAGTTTATCCTGAATCAGAGGATGGAGGTAGCTTCTAGCTGACCAAAGTAGCCATAGAGGTTTTAGAGGACCCAGGACACATAGAGAGACACAGGAATTAGTAGGGAGGGGCTTAGAGAGATGCTCTGCCTTTTGGATCAAGGGAGGAGAGGGAGAAGTCCTTCTTTGCTTCTCCATCCCTTCTCTGATCAATCAGGTCCACCCCTAATATCTGACTCCTGAGTTTTTATTGATAAAAGAATAATTAGATAAATGCTTCATTTGGCATCCAACATGGGACACAAGATTATGGGGTAGCCCCTCACCTCTGGCTTTGCAGCTGTGGAGCCACTGCCGAGGCTGGCTTTCTTTCCCTCCTCTTAGGCCCTCTCTGTCAGTCTGGGGTTTTCCCACTGCAGCCTCTCTACAGCAGCCTCCAGCTCCCGCTTCCATTTCCAGTCCCAAATGCCACAGATGAGTGGGCCCCCAAAGCTGCCAGAGGTAGCCACCCACTGCCATCCAGCTCTGTCATTCAGGTCCCCTGGCCCTCACTTCTACCATACAGGCTGCTTCTGCACATCCCCCTGTGTCCACTTTTCAAGCGGCTTGCTCTCTCTCCATGTGGGTTGTGGGCATCCCCTGGAACCCTTCCTCAGGCTGCTGCCATGCCAGGTTGGCCTCCTCAACACCTGCTCCTTCTTTTACTGCTGCTGCCACTGACAGACACTCTCAGCCCCCAGCCACATGCCAGCAGTTACAGGTGCTCTCAGCCAGGCCAATCACAGCCTGCGTTCTCTGCCCAGCCATGTGGCACAGTGACATCCAGCCTCATACTCTGCTGCCTTCATCAGCAGATCTGATGAGACACCTGGGAATTCTTAAGGGGGGAATTAGTTTTTTAAAAAGGGGTTTTCCCCGCATGTTAACAGTGGGTAACAATATTACCGTACAGGGAGTTAAGTCTCTTTATGGCTCCACAATGGATGGTTTGAAAACGGAAAAATCAAGTGAAGGGGTAATCAAATTGGCTGGGATTGATATAATGTTGATTATAATCACTATCAGTTTGATGCTTTCATGTTTTATCCTTAAAAAAATGGTTTGATATTGGTGCCAAATATGAAAAATTGACTGATAAGATGCAATCCTTAGAAAGACCTACTAATGAAACTAAGAAAAATATTTACACATAGACAGAGGAGTTTAGAGCAGAACTTACCACATCATTGCACTATAAAACTGAAGGGGAGCAGTCCAAGGTTAATAGAAAACCAACCTCAATTTATCCAGTTACCATTCAAGAATGATCACCAGATGACAGGCACCACCAAGGCTATGCAGAAGTTGACTGGGATCCTGTAGAAATGTTAGATTTGAAGACATTTAAGGAAGCAGTAGTTTCATAGGGTATGCATTTACCATTTGTAAAACAGATGTTAAATTCATGGACAATTCAAAACAGAATTATTCCACAAGATTGGAAAGATTTAGCTACAGCAATATTGTAAGCTGGTCCTCAGTTACAATGGAAAGCATGGTAGAAAGAGGAAGCTAGGGTCATAGAACAATGAAGTAAGCAAAACAATGCTGATTTGCAAAGACAGTTTAGATTTGATGATCACACCTTGGCCCTATGCTATATATCTGCTTTGAATGCTTGGGACAGGGTTGAAGAATCAGGAAAGAGGACTGAGTCATTTACTAAAATTATACGAGGCCCAAAAGAAGCTGTCACTGATTTTTTTTTTTTTAACAAAGATTGACTTCAGCTATAAATAGAATGATATCAGATCCGGAAATTAGACAAATACTAATTGAATCTTTGACTTTTGAAAGTGCTAATTTGGAGTGCAAAGGCAAGATTAGTACCCATAGATGAGTAGATAAAAAATATAGCTGATATTAGATTTTACACTTATGATAATACTTGGAGAGGAGAAATAATTTCTAAAATTTTTAAAGAAAAATCAAAAGGTTAGATGTTTTAATTGTGGTAAACAAGGTCATCTGAAAAGGTATTGCAGGCAAGGCATTCCTAGAAATGATGTTTTTTCTAGAGATAGTCCAAACAGAAGGCCCCAGCCTTCTGTACTATGTAGAAGGTGTGGCAAAGACTGACATTGGACTAATGAATGCAGATCAACAAGGGACAGACAAGGTAATCCTTTGCCATTGGGAAATGCCTTAGGGGCCTCTCATAGGCCCCAATGTCAACTTTGATTAAATAATTCCCTGTCAGCATTGGGGAAAACCCTCCACAGAGAAATTAAAAGACTTAATGCCTGTTGTTTAAAACCATACTGCCCCAGGTGACAGAACAGCTTATTAGATAAAACAATTTTTTCAGGAGAGTATTTTGGCAAACTGCCATAAATGATCAGAGACAAAAGCTAAAAATAGAAATAAATGGTATTGAAATTGAGGGTTTGGTAGACACAGATGCAGATGTAACCATAATTTCACCAAATCTTGGCATCAAGATTGGTCTCTTCAGGGGGTAAATGCTCAGCTTCTAAGGATTGGAACTTTATCTCAGATAAAATAAAGTGCAAGATGGGTTGAGTGTATAGGGCCAGAAAGACAGACAGGTAAATTCAAACCATATGTGGTTAACATAGCAATCAATTTACGGGGACATGATTTGTTGCTATGTTAACCCAGATTAACATTCTTCCAATCTCAGAAACAAACCATAAAATAAAGAATGCTTCTAAGAGAAATTTTAAGAGCTATTAGCAAGAGCAGTCACAGACTGCTATATTCTGTAATCAAAAATAGAATTAATCCCTTGTATATAACATGTATCAGATCCCATATAGGTCTACCAGGCCCTCTAGTACAAAGTAATGATGAAATTGATCAGCTATTGGTATGAAATGTGTGAGAAGCCTCAGAATTTTACAATGTTAACAGCAAAGTTTTGAAGAAAGATTTTTCTATCACTTGGCAACAAGCCAAGGAAATTGTAAGGAGCTGCCCTACTTGTTCTTTGTGTAACCAAAGTCCATTACCTGCAGGAAGTAACCCAAAAGGTACTCAAAGAAATTAAATTTGGCAAATGGGTGTGTTTCATTTTTCAGAGTTTGGAAAATTAAAGTATGTGCACCATACTCAGGATACATACTCAGGATTTCAATGGCCAACTGCTTTGAGTTCTTAGAAGGCTCTGTAATTACACATTTATTAGAAGTTATGGCCATTATATGAATATCTGTATAAATTAAGACTGACAATGCTCCATCATGTCTCTAGTAAAATGAAACAGTTTGTTGCATATTTCAACATAAAGCATATTACAAGTATTGTGGTGATATATTGTGTATCAAATAAAGTTTGCCTGAGGATCAGAGGATAGAGCCAGCCACTAGATTAAACATAGAGGCCAAGCAGTGGTGGCACGCACCTTTAATCCTACACTTGGGAGGCAGAGATCCATCTGGATCTCTGTGAATTCAGAGTCACCCTGGACTACATGAGATTAATCCAGTTTAAAGAAGAAACAGCAAGACAGTGGTGGCACACATCTTTAACCCCAGTACTTGGGAGTCACATGCACTTGAGATCTCATGCATTTGC